GTACGCGTCCGAAAGCAAACGACACCCAATCGGGTCCGGGCGACGTTTACAACGACAACACGATCGCCATAGCCGTCGCATACGTTCACCGGCCGAACGGCAAACACGTAAATCGTACACGCGGGGTGGTTATGACGCGTTCAGGGTGATGGCCAACGGTACGATTTCCAATGTACGCACAATATTATCATCGAAATCGTACGATAACGCGTTGGGGTAATAATGCAATGCGAGACCGGGTGGGCGATAACATCGGAATGAACGCGTCGCTGCGCGCGAACGCCGTTTGTCCGGTGGCGTGCCGCGACGTCAATACGAGCGTTACCGTAAAGGAATCGCCCGCACGGAAAAAAAATCGACTTTAATTTCCCTCGGCGAAACTCGATAAATCGTTTTACGTTGAATACTTATACGAGAGTTCATGAATACTGGTGATTTTCCACGTACAAGACGCATTTCCATTCGACATAACGAATGTCAAACCTTTTGTTTCTTCGTTTTCGGCCGAGCTGGCTCGCCCTGACGGCGCGCCGCTGGCGGACACGGACGCCGACATTCTCCGGACTTTCACGTTTACGTTTTCAATCGAAACCGCGCGACAGTAATTCAATCGGGTAAGTCTACAATTGTCCGGTCCCGCTGAATTGAATGGACGAGTCCACGGCGGTGCCGGCGACCGGGAAAATAACATTGCTTGGGTAGTCTCCTAACCAGTCGTTAGTAATATCTCCGCGAGTTCCACAGTGGCGTTAACGAGAAAATAATATCACCGCTGTCGAGCAAATCGCTAATAATAATATTTTAAATTATTACGACTAACCGTTTTTTTTTTTTTTTTTTGTTGACCGTTTCAAACATTTTTCAAAATATATTCTGTGTAACCTTCTAAATTATCCGTAAACCCCGAAATAGTTTCAAGTATTAAAAACGAGAAATCGCAAGGCCGTAATCGTATATATTAACGATTGAGGAAGAAAAAAAAACTTAAAAATATTGAACGGAATACAAAAGTTATTTCAAGTTTCTGATCTTCGTATATTGCCTGTATTGCATTATACTATAATATAGTAGTGTTCTGGTGTTTGATCGGAAAAAAAAAAAAATATGGGAATTTATGCAAGAATGTCATTTGGGAATCTTTTCGTGTACGAGTACTTATAGTATATACCTCTACGAGTGTTATTGATCGTAAAAACAACAGTTTTCGATATTTGAAATGTTTCACGATATATTACAATAAACATTTGTACACACTTATATTGGTTTAAATAAAAAATCACCTCGTAAAAAAACGTTTTTCAGCACGCCAATTGCCACGCAAAGTCGTAATGTTATTTGAATAAATAATTTTTATTTCTTTTCTATAACCTCTACATAGGTATGAGGCACGCGTACGGCACACTCGTAACGTTTCGGTAAATATATTTCGCTCTGTGGAGTTTATCAACAATAAAATACCGTAATAAAGTGAAGGGTTGTTACTGCCGATGGGTGCGCCACTGTTGCGGTGGGAATGTAGGGTATATAAAGTCGTTTAATATCTGTTAGCGACGACAATCCATTGCAATGCGATTCTGAGCGAAGTCTCGCGGTTATAAATGTTTTGAAATGCTGTGATATTTACGATTTTCGTCAAAATTTGTTCACAATACTGTTATTAAAAGCAAAATCAGCAACATTGCGTTCAACTTTTTTTTTTTTACCACGGAATAAATCGCCAAGCGTTTTTCTTCTAATCGAACCGTTTTGTTCACAGAATACCTCTACAAAAACTCAAAAACTACTCGGAAACTTTTACGTTTATGTGTTTATCCGTCACCGTTAAAACCGCCGCGGTTTACATTTGATATTCAGACGGCCCACCTATATTGAAATCGCCGTAAGTAGACGGAGTATTAAAGTCGAGACGAATGTCGGCGGTGAAATTTCACGTCGGCCCGTCGGCCCGTTGACGAGTTACTCCGCTGACGTTACGCCGTGCCGCCGCCACCACCGCCACCGCTGCGAGAACGACACGGCCTTCTCGGACGTACCGTAAACCGAATCCGGACGGAAGCGGACGTTTTCCGAAATCGGAAATTTTGGCCCGCTCGGACGGAACGCGCTGTACGCGTAGAACGGGCATTCAATAACGCGCTGTTATGACACTCGGGCCCGGGGACCGGGCGACTGTTTACGGCGGCGGTTCGGATTTCGTTTACGCGATTTTACCCGCGTCGGCGGCGACACGTGCGCGCGCACGAATTTTTTTTCGTGTCTCGTCGCTGCGCGCGATAACGCCTTGCACGACGATACGACTGTTTTACTACCCGCACCGCCATTATGCGGAGAGTTTTCGGGATACGACGACGAGAAGAAAACGCTCGCGTATCGATATAACACAGATTAAATACTCGGTTCGCTCTTGGGGATACCGCGCGCGCACTTTGTAGACTGTAATTTCGTGTTTATACGTCATAATAACGTAACGCGTGGCGGATGGGGGGGTGGGGGTCGCATTTCGCGTCGCGCACAGACGGATACACACACGCGCGCACGCACACACGCACACACGCACACACACTGCGCGCCGTGTCATTACAATACGGTGTGTAGGTTCGCCGACGCGTTCCGGTTCGTTTAACGTCGTCATATTATAAATTATAACTACAAACAAGCAGCAGGTATATCGCGTATGTGTGTGCACACGTATATATACATAAACACGCACGCACGCATCACGTATCGCGCGCGCAGCTAATATACTCGAAAAGTAATTTTCCTCCGATGTCGTGCCGGGATTCGCCGCGGAATTATCCGGGGCCCCGGAGCCCCGCGCGCGTAATCGTCTCGGGACGCGCGTGTGCGTACCGCCCCGACGGTTCGGCGGTATTACCGAGCGAAACCGTCGAAAACATTAAAATATTAAAAGTCGACGGCGCACCGTCTACTGCAGTACCGTACGAACCGATGTTGTCGCGATAAACCGCGTCGAAGAGCGAAAAACGTTGATGGTCTCCGACCGTGTGCCTGCTGCGTTCGATAAAACCGGTGGTTTTTTTTTTGGCGCGCGAGAAAAATCGAATTACGTTGACTGTTTAAAAAAAAAAAAAAAAAACATTTGTACCGTCTGTAAACGTCATGTCTACCAGACGTCATGTCCGATCGAATCGAAAAATCGACGAGGATACGTTTTTGTAGTGTTTCGGATCCGGTATAGGACCGTGATTGAATTTTCTCGTTCTCCTTACTGCGGTTTTCTTAGTAATCGGGAAAAAAACGCGTACGAAAAACGAATATGTTTACGGCAATAACGATTTTATTATTTTAGATTTTTGGATTTTTTTTTCTTTCTATTAGCAACAAAGCTGAGCAAGTTACTCAACTTTAGTAACCGTGCAAATTACAGTTATTTATCCTAATTACGTAATTTAGTTGAATTACGAGTTTCCAAACAAAAAGCATCACCCGTTAAGTTACTAGTTACTCATTAAACATGTTTTACGTTTTTTTTTTTTTCTAGTTGGTTTTTGTTGTTTAATAGATAAGATGTATGCATTTATGCTAGAAACGGATTTTCCATAGTTACAGAACGTTATCATAATATTATCATATTTTTTTTCTGTCTACTATGGTAAAGTACGTGTCGATACCCTCATGAAAAAAAAAAAATTGAGCTGCAAGATATCGACAACAAAACGTTAAAAATTAGCTCGTTAAGTTACTCTCATGCGCGCACAAAAAGCAACTCATAAAGTTACGAGAAAACTAAACGTGACTTACAAGTTACAAAGTTACTGGTTTCAGTAACTTTGTAACTAGTTACTGTCCAGTTTTGATCAGCAACGTTGCTCCGCACGTCTAGTTTTTCTCCCCTCCGTCATTCCCGGACCGCAAATTTTGTGCAGTCGGTCCGTAAGCGGGCCGTTATTCGATTTCGGTTTTCTTACGGTAATGTCGAAAACCGTACGGCGGGAACGTAAAACTGAAGAAGAAAACGAATCGAGATGCGACGAGGCGATTATTCGAAACTCGTCGGGTATAGGCGCGCCTCTACGAAACCCGATACTGCACTCCGGTGCATTATTATAATATTACCGTTGTAATTATGTTACTGACGTTCCTAAATGGCCGGCGGCGCAGCTGCAATCGTGCCGACGTCTCGGGCGCATTGTGATATCGGTGCGGGGTACGCGCATAATGCGATTCGAAGATTTATTTGCACATTCGAAATCGTCATAATAACAACACACTTAACCCGCTTTTCCCGCGCGGACAATGCGACGGCGAGTTGCGCAAGTGTCGGCCCGGCAGATTATCGCGCACGATCGTTATCTCTATACGATCTCGGGACGTCGCCGATCCGACGTCCGTCCGTCGTAAATAATATTGTACGACGAAAATAATAATAAAAAAAAAAAAATAAACCGACAGACACAACAAAACGAGAGATTACAAAATATCGTGTAAGTATATTATTATTATTGTCGTCGACCCTCTTTACGTTTTAATTATTAAACGGGGTACGCGGCCGCGCGCATTTCGGGGTCACCGAAAACATTTATCGTACCGTAACCTTTGTGTACCTACGCGAATACGTGCGCCCGCGTATCATATTGTCACGCAGCGTAACCGTTTGACATAATCGTATTTATGGGGCGCACCGCCGGGCATTTCGCCGTGCGCGACAATGTTAAGCACACGACTCCTCGAACACTCGTCGTGGAGGGACCGGGTCGACAAAAATAATTGCGTTTTTTTTTTTTTCTTTTCACGCGACGGCAAACGGGTCGGCGTTAAATGTCCCGCGCGTTATTATGCAGTTTTGTCGTTTTGTCCGGCAGGGTGTCGTCGGCCGTCGGACACGATACGCGGGTACCGCCGTCTCCTGCCGGGGCCGTCGGCCGCATCCGATCCGCGAATGAGCATCCGGATGATTGCCGAGGCTGTAAACGCCGATAAAGAAACGGTTAGAAAAATTTTACATGAGGAATTTTTTTTTTGACATTAACGGTATCGTGATGACTGAATGGGTTCCAGAGGGTCAGACTGTCAACCAGATTTACTATTTATCAGTTTTGGCAACACTGCGAGAAAGAGTTCGTAAGAAACGGCCCGAGTTGTGGAAGAACAACTCGTGGATTTTGCACCAGGACAACGCACTTGCCCATAACGCGCTATCTGTGAAGCAGTACTTGGCCGGTAAGCGCACTCCAGTGCTCGAACACGCGCCGTACTCGCCAGATTTGGCACCGTGCGACTTTTTTTTGTTTCCAAANAATTACTATATACCGACAAATTTTAATCTTTTATGGAACGGTGCCATTATAAGAATTTATCAAATTTTGTTTTTGCATATCCTATAAATTCTTAAATGTTTGTATTGTGTACATATAAAATGTAATATAAATTATACACGCATATACAAGGTGGCGTTTTACAAATGACAAAAATTATGCACCTACGTACTCGTGGATTTTGCACCAGGACAACGCACCTGCCCATAACGCGCTATCTGTGAAGCAGTATTTGGCCGGTAAGCGCACTCCAGTGCTCGAACACGCGCCGTACTCGCCAGATTTGGCACCGTGCGACTTTATTTTGTTTCCGAAGATGAAATCTGCTTTGAAAGGGACCCGATCTGAGTCGATGGAAGCGGTAAAGCAAAAAACGGCAGAGCTCCTAAAGGCCCTCACCAACGAAGACTTCCAGCACTGCTTCGATCAATGGAAAAAACGTATGGAAATGTGTGTGGCGAGGGGAGGGGAGTATATTGAAGGGGAGCATTTGAATGTAGAATAATTTTTATAATAAAACGCTTTTTCGTAACCAGTCTCGTTGTTTAATAGCCACACCTCGTATTACCCTCGGGCCCGTCCTCCGTGTCGGCGGGTACGACGGCAGTAGCGCGGGCGCGACAACCGACGACGGCGACAATAACACGGCACGCAATAACGCGTAACGCGATCCGCGTCCGCCGGGCTCCGGCGTTATCGGACGCCGCCGGAATCGAATTAACGGGCACCCGCGCGCCACGGCCAATAACAATCGCCGAGTGCGATCCGCGCGCGCTTAATCATCTCGTCACGCCGCGGCAGGCGACGACGCGACGGACACGCAAATCCCGCGCGTACCGGCCCGGTTAAGATAAGAGCGAACCCTTCCCGCGCGGGAGACGGGCGGGAACCATGCAAATGCGGGCGCCGCGGATCGGAACGCGCCGCACGTTACGTGCCTCCGTAGTATTATAACGCGCGTCCCGGGACCGCGATCCCGCGCCGATACGCTGCGGCGTGCAGTGCGGGAGAGCGCGACGGACGCACCCGATCGCGTACGCGTCCCCGTATCCGCAGCCTCGCCGCCTGTAGCCCCGGCGTGGGCGTTTTTCGAGACCGTTTTTACCGCGGGCGACGACTGCGGATTAAACGGCCGGCCGATTACCCCTTTCGGCGTTGTGCCGTGCGCGTCGCGTAAAAAACCCGGGCCGGGGGTATTAAATTAGGATTACGTTGTCAAACCGCCCGCGCCGACTTTCTTTCCGCCGCGCGAAAGGCTTATTATTACTACAAGACGCCCTTCCCCACCCCCCACCCCCGCCCGCCCGCGAAAAACTTTCCGAGGATTTGTATCCCAACCTGAATATACGTACGCGCGTATGTGTATATATATATATAAATTACGGCGTTTTCGGCGAACCGTAAACGCTCGCGGGTTAGTCATTTTTTCTCCCCCCCCCTCCCGTCCCCCTCGCCGGTTGCGCGTAAACGACCGAAGAACGGCGCTTAAGATTGTACTGCGCCCGCCCCAGCCCGCGAACGGTTATTATTGTTATATACCGGGTGCACAAACAATATCGTATTTTGTTTATATTATTACACGAGCGAAAAGAAAAAGAATGGGGAATAAAAAAAAAAAAAAAAAAAAAAAAAAAAAAATGAAAGAAAAACCGCCGGGCGACGACGACGACAACGGGCGGCGGGACGTCTGGATTACCGGTCGCGAAACTGCAGTCTCTCGCTGCGCGCGTAATACTATAATATACAATGTATATTATATATAATAACGCGATAAATTTCATTATTATCCACTCCCTCGCGGCCCCGAGCCCGGAAAAAAACCGGCGGGAAAATGTATTGGAAAAAAAAAAAAAAAAAAAAAAAAAAAAACGGACACTAATTTGCACGGATATTTTATTCGCGGCTTATGTGTGTACCCAGATCGGCGTTGCCACGCGTGACGCACCCCGTGTAAACATCGCTAAATCGTCGTGTATTAGTTACTACCAGCGGCGCTAATCCCTCTCCTCGCCTACTCCGATATCGACAAGAAACTGCTTTACGTTACGTTACTGGTGTTGTTCTGTCGATTTCCGGGTTACACTTTGATAAAACACGACCAACACGACATGACTATAGATTACCCGGGCTCCTCTCGAAATCGTTTTTCGATTGCAATGGTTTATCGTTGTTTTCAGTTTTATAAAGGAAATTCAATTTAATTCCTACACGTTCGAAATTTTTCACCGATATCAGATACCGTTTTCCGTGGTGCGAACTAATATGTTAGCCGTGTTTTTCGTATTACGTCATTATTCTTTAATCCAATAAAAACTGTATGCAAATATTTTGTATCACGAGCGTCATTTAGGGAGGGGCAGGGTATGCCGTTGCTAATATAAACCGAATTTCTACCGGCAATTTCGCTCCGATATATAATAATAGAACATTTTCTGAAAGGAAATCTGACTGGGAAGGTACTTGAGGGAGGTCATTTATCGATTTTTCGTGAGTTTTCCCAGAAAATGTGAAAACACGTGAAGAAACATGGAAAAACGTAGGAAAAACGGGGAAAACCAGTACTATATCATACGAATATTATTAAAGAAAACGTTTAATTCATGTACGATTATTTTACTATAATATGCCATGTATAATGTTGACAAAGCTATCAACCGAACTCCACTCAGAATCGTTTTTATTAAGCAATGGTTTATCGTTGCTTACAGATACAAACTAATTTCCCCTCAATATCCTACCTTCCCAACTTCTCGCAAACAACAATCGCTGCACCTGTTCCCATTATTCTAGGACAGCTTTTTGTTTATTTTTTTATACTGAATACAAAAATTGTATTCTACTAAAAATGTTGATCCGATATATATGCATGGGACCATTTCTGAAAGGAAACATTATCCCGAATGGTACTTTTAGGAGATAATTTTTTGATTTTCCAAGCGGTTTTCGTAATATTTGGGAAAAATCTGGATAAAACTTAAGAAAATCGGGAAATTTACGGAAATAATGCTTTTATTATTTGTTATACTTTAGTTCAAAATATTCGTAGAGACTTGAAATTTGGACAGAAAACTTATATTTGCCTATTCTAGACATGGTCAAATAACAAAAAATTTGAATTATATTTAAGGTTTTTATAAAAAAGTAAATAATTTCGTTGATTTTCCTTAGATTTCAACTTAATAGATTTAACAGAAATGCTTGAAAATTTTACAGATGTACATTTATACTAGATTTTTTGGTTTTTGTATTTTATAGATAAAATGATTTTGATTTAGCAGAAATGTTTAAAAAAATATATTCGAGGTTCATCATATTATTTGCATTTAGTGGTAAAAAGAAAATGTTTATTGTATTGTAGTAGGTTTGTTTATTCATGTTTAAACCTCAAATTTAAAATCGTAAAATGAGGCGGCTTTACGCGTGTTTTTATTTTCAGTATTTATCTGAATATTATTTTTTTTCTAAACCAAGTTTTTTGTAAATTTAACACAAGATTTGTCATCCGTATTTTATAGTCAATATATTTATTATACAGTATGTTGAAATTATTTTCGCTCATAATACGGCTAAAACTTAAAAAAAAAGATTTTTAAGAATTAATGAAAAATAAATATAACATACAGTCCTCGAGAGACGACACATAAGTATTGTATTAAGTACCCATCTACTTACAATTATTGGTGTAACGCAATTCCCTCGTTTATGATGGCAGTAGGAAAATAAATCGAATTACAAATGTAACGAGGCGGAAAATCGTTAAAGTTATAGGTCTAATAAGTAAAACGATAAAATGCGATAAATTGGAATTTTTAAATAATAATAATAATAATAATAATAAAAAAAAGTTAATGTCGATCTGCAGGAACGGTTTTATACCGTCTTGTACATAATAGGAAAACATTGAAAATCGCTGTGTTTCATTTAACGAGAGATTCGTTATAATAAAGTGCCTTCTGGGACGGTAAACGGATAATAATAATATTAAGACCGATTTTGTTTTACGGTTAATCGACAAAGCAGTTAATATACTGCGGGGGAAAAAAGCTAAATCGTTGAAAATTACCTCGTTGATATTATTCCGAGTGTCCCGTCGTTATAAACATTATAACGTGGGCACACTAAAGTGAAATAAATCACTATACAGAAAAATATAATATTATTATGTGAAAAAAAAAAGTAAAAAAGTATTCTAATTAATATTACGAAAAAAAAAAGAAAAAAAAAACGTAACTCCTAAAGGAGCGAGCACAATGGATTCGTTCAGTTCTGTATTCGTGGGCGTTCCGAGTGTGACTGATCGGTCGAGATTTTGACTTTGCCCGTACATTAAATCATTCTTTTCCGTTCAGTAAACAATTAAATACGCTGTTAATCAATTAGCAAGTCGTCACAGTCAGTTCAATCAGTAGCCAGTCGAGGTGAAATGGGCTGAACCAACGTGTTGACGAAAGTTCAGAATACTGAACCGAACGCGATAATATATTTACATGGTTAACGATTTAACTGGACTGAACTGAACCGATCTGTTGTGCTCGCTCCTTAACTAGAATTTGGATTTCTGTATTGTGACATATTGAGTATAACATGCAGTCTTACAAGAGTAAAAGCCGTGAACGATTCGTCTAACACGGAGTTCACGGGAAAAAGTATTTATGAATGTATGAGAATATTTCTGGGATTACTGAATATTTAGTATTTATTTAACATTTTTTTTTTTTGAATATTTTGTAAACGGTGAGCGAAAAAATAGTTATACGTCTCCATATGTTTTTGTTATTATTAATTTTAATAGAACGGAGCCAGCGAAATTTGTTTCAAATCATTTAACAATCATTTTTTGTTTGTAGTTTAAACGGTTATAAATCACAAACGGTAAATCTGATATTAGCGTTATGCATAACGAAATTTCTAAAAAAAAAAAAAATCTCTATAAAAAACTGTGTTAAATAAGGGGTGTTCATATTTGAAAAACAAAAGCGTGTACTTATTTAAGGTAAATGAAATAGGGGTAAAAAAAATAGAGCTAAAACAGAGCTAAAAATATTTCACAATGTTTAAACAAAAATTATATTCAATTAAAATACTATTACGGGATAATTGCTGGTTCATAAAAAAAAAAAAAAATCTCTGTATTTATCTACGCCATTCTTTACCTGGACTTTTCTTTAAAATCAAACACGGCGGACGATTGGTATTGTTTTATATTTCTAGAACATTTTAAATGTTCAATTTTCGCAGTGTCTAGACGGACCGATCGAAATATTATTCGCGACCGATAGTCTATAAACGCTGACGTATACGGCCGATTGATTTTTTTTTTTTTTTTTTTTTTTTTTTTTTTATACTTCCGTCTCTTCGTAATAATAACACGCTCAATAATTATTGTCGCGTGACGTTTTACGAGTTTCGTCTCCCCGTCTCCCGCGCACTGTATAAAAATATTGTACACACACACACACACACACACGCACATATATATATAAGTTCTTCAACGCTATGTATACC